CTTTTCGTCACAAAACCCAATGTGAGCCTCAGATGGTTCTGTCTGTCCAGAGGGCCTCCCTCCAGGGAAGGGGGTGGTGCAGGTCTGGAGCACAGTCTCCAGGGCAGCAGGTGATGGCGGGGGCTGGCTTCCTGCCCACCAGAGGGCTGCTCTACCACTGGCTGGTGGTGCTTCCCGTCCCCTCCCCTCCCCTCCCCAGAGGCAGACATTATAGCTGGAAGCCCTCCATGGGGGCCTTAGGCTGCTGGAAGATGACCTGCTGCTGTGTTTCATCTACTTGAGGAGCCAGGCTGCCGTCATCATCCTCTACACCGAAGTAGTGCTCAATGAGGTCGAAGGCCTTCTGGTAGATCTCCTGGTTCTCGTGGCTCTGAAGAAACTCGATTTTATCCAAGCCATAGGCTTCCTCGATGAGGCCACAGTAGGGATTGACCCCTGAGCCACTCCGCTTGCTCTCCTGCTCTCCAAGCTGCAGGATGTTCTCTAGTCCATTGAGGGCCACTTGTACAATCTTTGAATCCATTACAGTCAGCAAGTCACACAGGGGTTTGATGCAGCCCAGTGAAACTAGGTACCTGATCTGCTCAGGAGTTCCTCCTGATGTGGTGTTGGTGATGGCCCAGGCTGCTTCTTTCCTTGTACGGAACTCTGCTTTCTGAAGGATTTCAATCAACACAGGGAAGATATTTGCATCTATGACAGCCTGTATTTGAGCCCTGTTGCCAGCAGTGATGTTTGAAATGGTCCAGCAAGCTTCTTTTTGAATTGATTCCTTGGAGCTGCTCAATAAGTGGAGGAGGCAAGGGAGGGCTGAACAGTTAAGAATGACCTGTGTCTGGATGTCATCCCCTGTGACGATGTTATCCACAGCTCTCAGAGCAGGAGAAGCCACTTTGTAATCATTGTGCATCAGAAGCTCTACCAATCTCCGGCATACTCCAGAGTCTATAACTGCCTGGATCTTCTCGCTGGGGCCATCAGACAGGTAAGAGAGGGCCCAGCAAGCATCTGCCAGCAAGTCTGAATCACTGCTGAAGAGTAGGCGAGATAATATGGGCAAACACGGAGAGACCTTTGCGAACTCTGGGGGTGGGTTCTTCCTTCGGCAAAGGTTTGACAGGGCCCAAACTGTGTTTCGTGTCATTGTCAGTCTTGTGGACTTGGTAAGGAGTGTTAACAAAGGATTAAGGATGGAGCAGTTCAAGACGTAATCTCGGCAAACGGAACTGTCTCCAGCTATGTTTCCCAGAGCCCAGACTGCCTGTTCTTGTACATCCTCAAAGTCTGAGTTAAGCAGCTCTATAAAAATCGGGACAGCTCCTGCTTCAATAACAATTCTTGTCTGCTGAGAGGTTCCAGAGGCGATGTTTGTTAGTGCCCAGGCAGCTTCAAACTG